AGTCTTTTAACTTCTGAGATACGTGTACTTGTCTGTTGGCATTAGGCTGTTATGCTTGTAGATTTGTTGAGATTCTTTTTTTACGAGCTGCAGTTTTGTTTGATTTAGAATAGCAAAATGTGCACTCTTGCAACACTTTTTCCTGTTTAACCTTCCTGAGGGTAGGGTAACACATAAGCATTGCAGGTTTTGGAAGAGGAATGTGTGGTTTTCCTTATTTGGTTAAGGCCTGGCTTATACCATGGAGGTACCTCCATGGCCATACTGAGGCATCAGCGGTGTATGGACACTTGTTAGACAGTAGAGTCAGTGTTTCAGAGGCCTAGACAGGAACTTCTAGTTCCTGTAGTGCTCATATTTCGACATTTTAATGTCGTATGTTATGTATAATGTGTAATGTACATGTATATTGCCTTGTGCACTGGTTGTGCCCACTATTTATGCAATGTATCATTGTGGAGACTTTGAACAACTCCAATCACTGTGGTTAGGGCGAACACCTGTTTGTGACCTGTAAGCTTGTAGTGCCCCATGCTGGCTTTGCTCATTAAGTATTTGCAAGGAAAATAGGCTGTTCTTGTTCAGAGTTACTTGACAAACAAGGTTTAGCAGTTTTAGAATTAATCAGGCGCAAGAGTCTGACTGTAAATTGAAGAAAAGTGTGTTTGTTGTTTGCAGACATAACTCTTTTACTTGGAATTGTTAAGCTACATTTTCTCGTATACATGTAAGTTATAGTATATCGTCATTCTGGCTACCTGTTTACATGTGTTTTTGTGGTTGTTTTTACTTCCGTACAGGTTGTTGAAGTTGCATATTTGACTTGTAACCCTCCCATATATCGTGTTGATCTTATATTTTTAATCCTTTCTTATGTTTAGGGACTTCTATTTAGCTTCTGTTTAGGAAGAGTTTCCCCTTGGATTTTTTAAATTTTTTTTTTTACTTTACCTACTTTTGCACCATCTGAAGAGTAATTCCATTGCTGAATTATTTTGTTCTTGAAGCTGTTTTGGAATTTTTAATTGACCAATAACTGCTTCCATAGGGTCATAGTCTTGTTTCCGACAGGTTCACATTCCACTCGCTTGTCGATACGAGTCAGGATTAATTGTTTTCTTTTGGATATAAGCTTCTTGGATCTTGGTCTCTAAGTTTAATTTTTTCGGTCATCCTCAATTCTCTTTGTCATTTTTACTCTAAGCCCCAGCGGTCTGATTAATTGTATTTGCACTGTTTATACTTGAATTTGGTTAACTTGGATTGAGACTTTGCTGGATTTTGACCCATTTTTTTTATTCCTTCAGGTGAATTAAATCTTTTCTTTTCTTTTGACGAGATCTCAATATCAATCGTTTGTCTCTACTTATTAGCTATCCTCGCGACTTTTTTCCCATATTCGTTCACTTTGGTTTGTTACTGCAGACAGGTTCCCCCAACCTTTAGGGTTTTTTTCTTTTTTGGGTTAGTTTGATTTGTTTGTTGTGTCATTTTTCCAGGCTACAAAAGCAAAAAGAAACGCTAATGAATTCTCAGTTACGGATTTCACTGCTTATTATCGCTTGTCGAATACTGGCTACTTCAGTAACTGTCAGTAATTACCCCTGAATAAATACAGTCATCTACCTTTGAAAATGTGGACCAGAGTATGCAAAAGTGTTTCAAACAATGCAACCAAAGAGAAATGCCAAATATTTTAAAACACATCTGGTGCATAGTACACCGGAGGGTAGCTTTTAGTGCCATACCATGCAAGTTATTGTAAAAGACACCACACGCAGCCGTGGCATGATGGGTTGAGCAAGTTCAATGCTTTCAATGACGTACTTGTGATTCATTCATCCATGCAAAACGGCAACCCTCGCCTTTGGCTTTTGCACACACAAAGAGCTGTGGCGTGTGCTACTGAAGTGTTACATGTGTGAGTGTACACAACGGTGTGCGTGAAACGGTGGATATTGATCTTGCTTTTAAAAAGGAAAAACAAGGCCGATTCGGCCACTCTCGCGAAAATCTCGGAAAGCCCCGCGAAAATGAAGGAAACATCCGTGGTTTTCCAAATTTCAGTTTATGTCCTCCACAATGTGACACCACTGTTACACCTACATGAGGCATTGCATTGCATATTGCTTTTATTTAGTTTGGTTGTTTGTCAGGTGGTGCGTTTTTACTCTGCATAGAAGGGAAATTTTCCTTTTAAAGTAGCTGCAATAAATTGTTCTTAGATACTAATTTCTTCAACTTTGTATTCTTCTTCAATATGTAAAACTGTTTTACCTTCCTGTTGTGTCAAATGCATCAAAAGGTGCATGTTTTTAATCAATGAAATTATCCATGCTTTCCCGAAAACCTGAGGTCGCTGTTGTTGTGAAATCATTCAGGGAAGACATAGTTTAGTGCATAGGTACTTGCGTTCAAATTGTGAACCGAGAATTTCAAACATTCTACTCTCTCCTTGTGGTCACATTCTGTAATTCAAAATATTCTCTGAATAAAAAGACTACCATTTCCTTTCGGAGGGGAAGGTCGTAAGATCAATCCTTAGATTGATCTTTTACACAAACATACGTGGTTGCACAGATGAGATTTCCAGATGCCTATTAGAGTGTCTTCAAGAACACATGTTAACCTTAACCTGGCTAAATCCACAAATGGGGTACGGTTACTGTCCATTTTTGTGAACGAGTGCCTTGGTAACGAATTTCCACGGGGCGAAGCCCGAAACCAGTTGGAGTGGAACATCTGCTACCGGGTGAACTTGAATTCAAAACATACACTTTTTGTTTCATACAACACCTGAATATTCTCTTGGGGAACGAGTCGCCATTTTCCTTTCTCAGTCCGTTGTCAAATTGTGACACGAAGTTGACGCGTTCCAAATCAGTTTATGATTCAGCAGTTGTTTCATTCAATTTGCATATTAAATTTTCTTGATATTAGAAGCAGTTGAATTACAGAAGAGATAAGATATATCTTCATCGGTCGGTAGGATCGATGCTTTGTGCCTATCTTCAGCCGTCTGCCTTTTTGTGCTGGTGAGAGGCTGCTCTATGCCGCTTAACCGTGGTATAATCGCCTGACCAATTTCTCTTCTTTTCAAACTGCAAATATACTATCATGGAACGAATTCATGCAGTAAAAACCCTCAGGTGATTCGTTGAGAGGTAAACTTTTGCCTGAACCAAGCACTTAACGCAGTGGTTAATTCGCTGAACTTCATCAATTAGTAAAGATGCGTGTCGATCCGTTCGGAACAACGCGAAAAATCCTGAGATTTTGGCCCTCAAAACATTGATGTACGTTTTACATTTATGTTTAAGAACAAAATAATGACAAAAATTGAACTGGAAAAAAATGCCATTTTGTAAAAACGGTGGCGATATTTGCATTGATTTTGTTGGCGGGAGCCATGAATTGGCCCGCATACGTCATGTCACTTGATCTTCAACTCACCAGGCATATAACAGGGATTTATCCAGGTATTTTGTAATAAATCTTGAAATTAAACTTCTGCCGAAAATCACGAAACATCCACGAACATTTGAGTTAAATGCAAATACTGTCACAGAAATGATACTGACTATTGCCCGAAACTCGTCCACAGTGAGACTTGGTCATTACCAATTTTGTAGTTTGTGTAATCGCTCGTTCTTCCTCCCAACCACAGATATATTCGGCCATCGTTTTGGCTATCGCGGCATGGCAGATCTCAATTTACACAGGTAAGCATAGTTGTATCTATCCATTTATGACATTATCATTTCTCACTGTGCAGACTTTAAGTGGCTATTGATGTTAAGCTCCGGTGCTTGAACTTTGCCGTTGAACAAATCGCCACTTGCACAACCAGCGTGTTCAAATCATCAGAAATTTTGTGTATTTTTTGCGGTTTGAGTGAACGCATTAGTAAGTACGACTCTCAACAGCTCACCAAGTGTATTCAAACGAATCAAGTTCACAAACTAATTTATTCTAATTCTATTCTGCCTGAACTAAGGTATTTGGGGCGATTTATTATTAATATGCACATATCGATTATCTCGTGATAATCAGTCATTACTGATCTAATAAATGTAATCCAATGTTCATTCGATTGGCCTCTCCTTAGCAACAAGTCGTCAATTAACCATCTCACAAACCTTTTTTTAGTAATGCATTTTGAAGACAGTAACAAAATTCTCAAAATTCATGTCACCCATTCATTCCAGCATATATTTACGTGCGAGCGGATGGCTTCTTCATTGCATACTGCTTGGGGGTGGCACTCTTCGCCCTGATTCTGATTTCCTCCATACTGGTCCTCGTTGGCGTCTCTCAGGTAAAACCATCGCATCAACATGACTGAAGATTTGTAAGGTTGAAAGAGCATTCAAGGACCACGTTTGGCTTTGACATCAGATTTCACGCTGCCTGGCAAACAGTCAAAGCCCGGTGACAAAGCTGAGGCCATGCAGCAGTTTCAATAACGTCAAGTTAGTTGACTGCTATAAGAGCAGCATGAAATATGGAAACACAGTTGCGCGCGCTACAGGGGAAGGAGGTTGCCATGGAAGAAAACGGCCATCACTTTACCCATACCTGTTTTACATACAAAGTGTGGCCATTGCTTTGTTCTCCCGTGGTTAAGGAAACTTCAGGAAAGTGATCCAAAATGCCTCTGAAGCTGTTTTTTAGAAATGGGGGAAACATTGTGTGGACGAGTCCACACTACGCCATCCCACCCTACATGTGGACTTCTTTTGTACAGAGGTCCACACTATGCATGCCACGCCTGCACACTCTCCTTTTCAGGTGTGTGAATGTGTGTCTGGGATTCCCTTCCATGCCGAAAAAACTATAAGTCTAGCTCATACATCTGTATTGGGTCAAACTGCCACCTCCACGAGGCATATCCTACAGCAGCGTATTAAATTGTTTACCTATTGCGTTTTGTTCCGAAGGACCAGCGTGGATTCCTGCTACCGTACATGATTGTCATGCCCATGCTCATTCTGCTGCAGATAGCACAGTGTATCTTGCTCATCGTTGCCATGACTGCGGTAAGTCCATCGTTAAAGGCAACTCACAAAGAACAATCTTCACTCGATACTCATTTACTACCCAGTGCTCATGCAGGCCTGCGAACTGTGCGAGGGAGTAGCCAACACCGTCACTACAACACTTTATTTTAGG